AAGCATTGTTATGACCCTTTCTCACCTCAGGAACTAGGACCTGTATGATATCTGGTTTATCAGGTTTGCCTAAATAAAAGATTTAGATATGACTTATCAATACATTCCTGCAAAAAGGTCTGATGTTGCAGGGGCAGGTAATGAAAAGTGCTGGGAAAAAATGCTCTTGTTCTGATGCCAGTCTGTTTCAGCCTTTATCCAGTCTCATGTAGAAGGACTGGTCATATCAAAGGTTATTTGCATTACAATAGGGACAGTTAGCAAGGTAGTGTCCATTTTCTGACACGCTTTAGCCCAAGTGGGGTCGCGAGGGTGTCCACCTGTCTACTGGCGAGAGGCAGGGTATACCCTGGACAGGGCGCCAGTCCATCACAGGGGAACACAGAGACAAACACTCACACCTAAGGAGAATTTAGAGAAGCCAATTAACCTAACAGTCATGTTTTTGGACAGTGGGAGGAAGCCGGAGTACCCGGAGAGAACCCATGCATGCTCAGGGAGAAGATGCAAACTCCATGCAGAAAGACCATGGGCCGGGAATCGATCCTGCAACCTTCTTGCCACTGCTCTATTGAGCAGCCCTAGCAAGGTAGATTGAATACACAAAGTTGTAGAGGGGAGGGGGGCTTGCAGGAAAACTGATTTTCTCTGGGACTTCTTGTGTTAATAAATTCAATCCATTGATATCTGATGATGTCACTATTTCCATTTTGGCTATATTATTACAATTATAATGTGACTGATGAACCATTTTGCCAACCATCACAAAAGACAAAAAGAAGAGGAAGATTGTGAACCTTTATTGAAAGCATGACATTAAGGAAGCTGTCCTGTCTGCCTGCTGAGAGCAGAGCTGCAGGAATCACATGAGCTGCTGCTGCTGCTGCGTCACGTGACGCGCCGTTTCTAAAACATGGCTACGACTAGCTCACAACAAAACACAACCGACTGACTGTCCCGTCCGTCCGTGGGTCTGTGGGTCGACACTCTTCAGTTGACACCAGAAAATGAAGCGAAGGCAGCAAATCTCGCAGCATGTCTCGGATTCTTAGCGCGTCACAAACCCGTCACGCGTGAAGTGAGGGAACACCGTTAGCTCAACTCCAGCTAGCTGTCAACTGCTACAAGTGGTGAGAGGCGACCTAAGGAGACATTCTGCTCACTATAATTACAGCGGATTTACATGAGAAGTTGTCAGTTTAAAGATTTACAACAACATTAATAATGTTTTCTTTAATTTGAAGCCATAATGTTAGCCTCTTTGTTAAGCTAAATGCTAGCTGACTTCACTTCCCTAAAAAACACCTTAAGGACTATTTAAGCTTAGCCTTGCTGCTAACTCTAACCTCAGCTGCTCTGTTATTTTATTTAAAGTTTGCTTTAAATGAATTAAGAAAACCCACAAAGTTTGCACTTTTAGGTTGATATTTAATCAGTGCATGGCTGTTGGTAAGATGTTCAGTAGGTCAGAGGGAGTAAAGATATTTTTATTGATTACACTTCGTGTTTTTTTCTTTACTTTTATTTAAGTACATGTAGTTGATTCGGTCAATCTTGAGGGAGATATGTTTATGATATGTCTAGATATGTTCATCTTAAATTGACGTGTTGCCAACTTATTGCAGTCATGTGAGTGTAGCCCTTGGACTTTCAGTTTGATCTTTTTTTATTAGCATCAGATTGTATTTTAAAGCCGCTGATAAACATTCAGAACCTTTTGCTGTGGTTGCAAATATAAATTTTATGCAAATGTAATTTTTTTTCGCATTTTTTTTCTTAAAATGAAAGCTATATCTAAACAACCTGTGGACGATGTTTATTACTGTCTGAAAGAGGAGCACAGCGTTGTGTAGGCCATGTTTGATCCGGAAAAAAGAGAAAATTAACATTTGAAATATATCTCTGTGTTTTAGGAATTCATATCATGAGTTTAGCTATTTTAATTGAATTACCAACAGACAGAAATTTCAGATTATTCTCTCATTTTATTGATATGCTATCTTGTATGCTGTTATGACTAACAGAATAACTTTCTCCAGTGCATCTCTCCCCATTATTGAAAAAATGTTGCTCCTGTGACATGAATTTTTAGGAACACCTATTTAAGGAGCTCAAATTGTTTTAGTCTAAAAGTTTCTGCATTCACAAGCTGTATTTGTTTTTTAGAATTGAATTTAAAGTGCTTTAATTATTAAAGGTCACAGTTCCTCATATTAGTCTGAGGGCAGTGAAGAAAATGTTTTATCTTTATTTTTTCTCATTTAAACAGTTATTTAGCTTAATCTTAAAGAAATTATTAATAGATTTATTGGACATTTAGCTATTTTCATTTGAGTTTACATAATTTTATCTATTATACTGTATTAGGATGATTACTGTGATTGAATGTTCATAATAGTTCAATTCCAAACTAGTTTAAGTTGAATTTAACTCTTTAATCCCTTTTTTTAAATGTATGATCATATTTTCGACACAGATTTAATGCTCCTTTTTAAATGACAAATGACAATTGTTTTTAGCTTGCAAACTTACTGTGCGTTTCTCATCTTATTGCTCTTTTGTGTTTGTCTCTCTTTTTTGCAGAGGCAAGGTTAAGAAGATACCAGCTGATAACTTTCTCCATGGGTCTCAGAATAGCATCCTGGTGGGAGAAATTGCGATAAAGTCACTGGTAAACGTGAAACTGTAAACAATTATTTAAAGACACACCATGGATTGGCTTATCCAAGCAGTTGAGAGAGATCTAGGAGTTGACAGACGGCAGCAGGGTCAGGGGCTCCGTCCAGGGGAGCGTGTTGCTTTGGTTCCGACTCGCTGGGTGATGGGCCTCAGGGAGAAAAGGGTCTTACGCTGTGCCCGATTTGAAAGCGGCAGCACGACAGAAATCTCTACACACCTCTGTTCATCACAGACAAAGTTGCCACCTGGCTGGACACGAGTATGCATTCAGGGTCTGAGGAAGAGCAAGTTAAGCTACAGTTTGGCCAGAGATCCATGCCATCATGAAATGGAAGTGCTCCCACAGGACTCGTATGTTAAAACCATGCAAAGTGTGTCACAACTTAATGTCAGGTACAGTAAAAACTCTTCTCTGCTTCAATCAAAGACCTAATGAAAAGTTTAAAGATTGTTTTCCACAGATATTTTCTAAATAATCTATTAAAATTCCTTTAAAAAGCATTAATGACCGATATGATTCAAACAGTACGTTTAAGCACCTTGTTTTAATTTGAATACTTGTGGTAAAATAGGCTTACTTGTTTTATTATGCTGTCGTAAGTATCAGATCTTTTGTTAGAAATATTGATGTACTTTACATATTCTCTGACAGGCAAAGACTATAATGTCAACTATAACTATGCAATTTCTTATCCTCTGAAATTGTAGCAAAGTTTTAAATGAGATGGATTTATTCAGAAATAATGGTTACTTTTAGTATTGATTTAGTATTTGATTTTTTCTTTCTTCTTTTTTTCAGAAATCTGTGGCGGGAAGCTCATTACAAGCTTGTGCAGCCATATACAGGGCCCAGTGAGCAGATGCATATTACCGCTTTGGATGCAGTACGCCATGCACTGGAGAAGCTCTTCAATTTGACATTTTTCTCAGTAGACAAAGTTTCACCTTCTTTGTCTCCAGCCAGAGAGAAGGAAAAAGACATATTTTTGCCAACAAGCTCATCCAGTTTTTCAAAGTCTCAGTCGGACAATCCTTGTCCTAATGTCCTGCCCGCAGAGTGCCTGCTGGAGACAGCAGAAATGATTTATGTCATTCTACCCTATACTCAATATTCTCTTCAGGATATTGTGTCCTTCAGCCCAGCAAAGCTTGCCAACAGTCATGCCAAAGTCTTGTTCATCATCTACCAGGTGCTGGTAGCTATGCGGGCATGCCAAACAGCAGGCCTTTCTTGTGGAGAACTGTCTCTTCAGGACATAGCAGTAGATGAACAGCTCTGGAGCCATCTCAAACTCAACCTTTCTCATTATGAGGACCTGGGGTCAAAAGAAGAGGCGGGCAGTAATGATAGCTTAAACCAAGTGCAGAGACATGCAGAAAATAAATGTGTGAGCCAAAAGAATGATCGACTGTGTAAAGACTGCTTTGATGAGCTGAAGACACTGGTTCTGGATTGGGTCCATGGACGAGTCAGTAACTTCCATTACTTGATGGAGCTAAACAGGTTAGCTGGACGGCGGAAGGGGGACCCTAACTATCACCCAGTTCTGCCTTGGGTTGTGGATTTTACTGTCCCGTTTGGAAAATTTCGGGATCTCAGGAGGTCAAAGTTCAGGCTAAACAAAGGGGACAAGCAGTTAGACTTCACATATGAGATGACCAAAGAGGCGTTGGCAGCTGCTGTGGGTAATGGAATTGGTGTAGGTGGTACAGGTGGAGATCTCAGCATTGGTGTTGGAGGTGCTGGACAATCTGAACACCTACATGTACCTCACCACATATCTGATGTGCTGTCAGACATTACTTATTATGTGTACAAAGCCCGGCAAACACCCAAGTCAGTCCTTTGTAGCCATGTTAGGTCACAGTGGGAGCCAAATGAATACCCAGCCACAATGGAGCGCATGCAGAGCTGGACTCCTGATGAATGCATTCCAGAATTTTACACAGATCCTTCCATTTTTCGCTCAATCCACCCAGATATGCCTGATCTGGAGGTGCCTTCTTGGTGCAAGTCGTGTGAAGAGTTTATTGATGTCCATCGGGATCTTCTGGAGAGCAGAGAAGTTTCCCAGCATTTGCATTCCTGGATAGATCTTACATTTGGCTATAAGCTTTCAGGTAAAGAAGCCATCAAGGCTAAGAATGTTTGCCTGCACCTTGTGGACAACCACACTAACCTAACTACCTATGGTGTAGTTCAACTGTTTGATCAGCCTCACCCACAGCGCCTATCTGCTTCCCAGTATGCCCCAGCAGAACCGCCTATTCTTAGCCTTGCTGCTCTTAATGTGCCTTCTCTAAGCATCCCTACCGTTGATTCTGTTGTTGACACTGTGGATGGAATGATACCAGAATCCAAAGGATGTGAGTCCTGGACCATGACCGATAAAGATGAAGACCTTGAACAGGGTACAGAAGCGATAGACTCATTAACATCAACTGGCTCATCAACTCCTGCATCTTGCCCTGTCACTCTGCCGACCATTGGTGCAGCGGCTGGCAAAATTGGTGGAGCAATTACATCTCAGTCTCCAACTCCATTGTCAAGTGATTTCTCAAGTGTGATAGGTCCTGCTTTACGGAGTGCAGTGTTACAAAAAGGTGGACCGATGAACAAAAAACATGGGGAAAATGTTACCACTGCAAATTCAGAAGAAGTCAAGATCATTCTCCCTGAAGGTTTTAACCCATTGCAACCTTTAGAAGAGCTGGAGAAGTTGAATAATTTTTTGGTAAAAAGTCTTCATGCTGAAGTATTGCACCCTGCAACAGCTAGTAGCTCCATAGCTGAGGGATTTAAAGCTGAATCTGGACTTTGTCTCACTAACCTCTACCAAAGGGATGTGCAGGCACTTGGGATTCTCACTGCAGAGATATTTTATGCCTCCAAACTTAGAGGACTAAGAGCAGACACTCCACTCAGACAGCGTTTCCAGGCCATCATTAAACTGTGCTCTTCAAACCTCCGTGATGTGCCACTGTCTTTGCACCATGCTCTTGAGACTTTGCTGCTATTGGAGAAGCACTCCAGAGTGGCATACAGCAAAGAACCAGATTGTCCAGAGCCTCTTGTTTTCAAGTATGACCCTATCTATGATGGTCTCCCTCCTCCAAGCCCTCACCAGCTATTGAACTCCATTATCAGTCCATTCCCTTTCCCTTCCTATTTTGCTGCACTTCATGATTTCATCTTCTATTACCATGCCAATATGGGTGCTGTGTGTAGCCTACAGGGAAGAGACATTGTCTTCCATCTGTGGCAGCAGCTTGACAAATTGCTGTTGAGTGACATCACTGCCGAAGGTCTTGAGATTCTCTTGCCCTTCATTCTAGCCCTCATGCTTGAGGAATCCACTGCTGTCTATGCAGCTTGGTACCTTTTTGAGCCCATATCTGCAGTCCTTGGTCCCAGAAATGCAAATAAATACTTACTAAAGCCCCTGATCAACGTCTATGAAAACCCTCACTGTCTCAAAGGGCGATTCTATCTGTACACTGACTGTTTTATCCTTCAACTGATAATGAGACTTGGTCTCCAGGCCTTTCTCTCCAGCCTGCTCCCTCATGTGCTACAAGTCCTAACTGGCTTTGAAATCTCAGGCCCTGGTGGAGAAGGTTGTAAAGGATTGAGGACTGGCATTTGTAACATAGGAGAGGAAGAGGATGAGGATTTTCATGTTGGCAAGGAGCGGTCATCATCTGCGTCTGTTGGTGGCAACATGGGGAGCAGCAGTGGTGTTGGTGGAGGAGTTGGGCTGGGTGGAGACAGCGGACTAGTTGACTACTCCTCTGGCATCAGTCTCAACGACCAAGTTTTTCTTTCAGAAGCTGAGGACTTTCAGAATGAGTTCTATGTCAACGGTGGAGAAGGAGTTGGTGCTGGGAAGCGCCAGAGCTCTTCAGCCAAAGATCAAGATCAGGAATCTTTAAGTGTGGGAAAGTTAAGTGACAAAAGCAGCACAAGTGAACTCTCTCTAGGTGATGACTCAATGCGGGATAGAGCGAGTCTAAAATCTGCAGATAGTAGCCAGGATTTAAAACATGCTAGTGAGGGAGAGGAAAGTGGTGAATTAGAGGAAGAAGAGTTAGCTGGTGACAGTAAGGAGGGGATTGATATACCAGCTGCCCAAAACCTTGATCTAACAGATTCAGGTACCACTTTCACGACTCTTCAGGGAGACACTATTAATGGATTGAGGCTTGGTGAGACTGAAAAAGGAATTGTGGGTACTCAGGAAGATGAGGAAGACGACAGAGATCCTTCAGAGGAATCTGAGGAGAAAGAGCAAAAGATTCTATTAGGTAAGGCAGTAATGGACCTTTGCATGACTTTTTCTTTATTCGTCGGATGACATTTAATGTTTTAATTATCTTGCTATTCACAGATACAGTCTGCAAAACAGTGCGATGGCTATCAGCAAAACTCGGACCAACTGTGACATCCCGATATGTTGCTAGAAATTTGCTGCGGTTGCTCACAAACTGCTACGTTGGTGTGTGAATTCATAAAATAAATATGTTTTCTATCTAATTTTGAAACCAACAAAAAAATATTTTATGATTTACATCACACATGCTACTATGAGTTTTATTGACTTTTTCCCTTCATATCTCCTTAAAGGACCTGAAAACCACCAGTTTGTGTCCCCTTCATTGGTTGGGAGCCAGTTGGAAAGTGTGGGAATGGGCAGTGTGTATGAGAAAAAACCTGTAGTTGGTGATCAAACAGCAGGACCTGTTTTAGACTGTCTCATCTATATAGCTCAACTATATGGAGAGCCTGTTCTCACCTACCAGTACCTGCCTTATATAGGATATCTGGTAAGATAATGAACCTATACTTTGCCAATGGAAAATGCTGAATAAAGGCTGAACTTTTGTATTTTAAATTACTAAACTGTTTTTTTTTTTTTGTTTTTAAAATTATGTTTGTGTTTGTCATTAAACAGACAAACACACTGAACATTGCATGATACGTTTCTGCTTTACAAATGTTTTTTAGGTGTCTCCACCATCTTCACAGCGTCTCAACACGCGTAAAGAAGCAAGTCTTCTTGGAGCTGTAGCACTTACCCAGAAGATCATTGTTTTCCTCTCAGATACCACACTAATGGACATGCTTATGAAGCTGAATCAGGATGTGCTCCTTCCACTTTTAGATCTTATTACCACGCCACAAATGGGGTATGTAACACACAGCAGGCATGCCAATGTGGATAGAGAAGATTTAAGATTCATTACAGATAATAAAAAGCAAAACATACCAAATACCACTGGTAGTTTTACTTTTAACTTTAATAGTGGTGTTTAAGTATGTTTAAGTTTGATGGCTTTATATTTTTGTATTTGAACAGGAAAAAAAAACATTAGATGTAGATTTCCCCTTATTAATCCTGTTGTGTTGTCTAGGTTCCCCAGCGGTGTTCAGACTCGCACTGCTGTGTGCCTCAAGATGCTGAGCCTAATGGCTCTCATCTGTCTGCGCATTGGGAGGGAGATGGTACAAATGCACATGGCTGACACTTTGTGTCGCTTCTTTTCTGTTTTTTCTCTGGTGCATTCTCTACAATCACAGGTAAAGTGTTTTAACTTTTTATTATAACAAAGTTTTTTATGAAAAAGGCAAACCCTAATGAAAAAAATAAAACTTTTTTTAAATAAGTAAAAGCATACCAAAACTCCCATTATAAATGCCTGTTGCCAAGGATTTTTTTTACCTTCTTGAACATTTTGAATTGCAGTAACATCACAACTAAAACATTTTCATGTATTTTATTCAGATTTAATGTATTTAGATAGTTTTACAAAATGAATTGCAATTAGTAATCTGAAATCGGGATTTATACTGGGGAGAGGTTTAAAGCAGAGATCATTATATAACATTTTCCTGGAGCCTGTTCTGTTATGGTTTTTATGGACTCTCAACTCTAAAACAACCATGACATGTCCGCCTATATTGAAGTGCCTGCTCAGGCGAGTAGAGCAATAATCTTAAAAGCAACCAAGAGACCTATGGTAGCTTTGGAGGAGCTTAAAAAAATACACAGCTCAGTTTGGAAGATTAGCCAATGGAACAACTTTTAGTTGTTTAATCCATAAATCTGTCGGCCGTAAAGGAGTGGAAAGAGGAAAGCTGATGTAGATGGACAACTGCTCTGTTCATTTCGGACTGCGTGCAAAAAGCTGTGTATTGTAAAAGAACATGTTGCACATAACCTGAAAATTCTCACTCTACAGCATGGCGCTGGCAGCATCATGCCACGGTGATGCCTTTCTTCAGTGGGGCAATAAAACTGGAAACATCAGCAGATATAAATAGAGGATAACTGGAAGGAAAGAGGCTGGTGAAGGCTGCTGCCAAAGACCGGAAATATTGATTGAGGCTGAATTTAAATGCACTTGACTTATTTGTATCATCAAAGTGAATCGTTTTACTTTGTCTTAAAAATCATGTTACGTTTTTGGCCTATCACATAAACGATTAATAAAATGAACTCCATTTTGAGGTTGAAGTATGACTAAATGTAAAAGTGAGGAAGAATACTTCAAGGCACTGCATCTGTCTGCAAATTGTACATTGTTTAACTGTATTGTTTTTAGTAAATAGAGACTTGATGCATGTCAGATATAAACTAGAAAATCAAATAACGACAGAGAAAGAAATTGTGTACATGCATTTACATCCTTTTTTTTTAATAATTATTATTTTTGAAAATTAATATTGAAAGTTAACAATCAGGGCTGTCTTTTTACCTCTGCAGCTGAGTCATGCCCCTCGGAGGGTTGTTGGAGAAGTAACAATGGTGGATGTTTGCACACCAGAGGGGTCAACTGCAACATATGAGATGGGGGTCCTGGAGGAGTTGCAGACAGTTTTTAACCCTGAGATGGCCCATGCCTCTTACATCCCCTTCTATTGTCTCATAGGTAATGCCTTTCTCATTAAATGACTAAACACATTTTCATCAGGAAAGTAGCATAAAAAAAAACAC